TGCAGTGGTATCAACCTAAGACAGGAGGCTGACGCCTAAAGGTCAGTTTTCCGATGACGGGTAAGAACCATATGTTGAATTGGACAACCTACCAGGCACGGTCCTTAAGCCGCATTGCTTGTTGTTTAATTAATCAGAAGGGGGGAGATGCTGGGAGCCATTAGCCAAGTAAGTATGACAATTTCCTTGCCAGCGTACCCCATGTTGCAGTGACATTGAATGTACTTAACCTTGCTCAAGGACCAAGGCAGATTAGGGTGTTCCCGGTTTTAAGATAATCTTGTTTAGGGCGTTCCCAGTTTAGGTTCCAGGTTTAAGGTTTAAGATTATTCCTGCTGGGAATAGGGCGTATCCTGCTGCCTGAGTTCCCCTTGAGTTCTCACGGGATTCAGACAGTATATTTTGGAGGTAGAAGCCCAGTGGAGGTGATTTTGGGAGAGAAGGTGGATTTGGGCAGAGAACGTGGATTTCCCCAGAACGTGATTGTAGACGGCTGGTGTGAGTTCGGGAATAAAGAGTTGCTGTTTGAATCTACAAGCTGTGTGGTGGCTCGTGATTGTGTGCCCAGCCAGACTGCGGCATTTGTGCCCACCCAGACTGCGGCATATATATAGACATAATTTCTTATATATGTGTGTGTATATGTATATACACACATATATATTTAAAAATTCTATTTTTTCTTTCTAAGTTCTGAATTGTCATGGTTAAGAAAATGTACATTGTCTAAAGTTTGAATAAGTATGTCCTTTAAACTGTTTAGAGTTCAATTTTATAACTCTTTGTAAATATGACTTTTGAAAAAGTAAATATGGAATTAACACTTCAATAATATTGAAAAAAAATATAGACCTAAGACTAGCTTTGTTAATATTGTCCATGGAGTACTATCATAGACACCCATAGGTCTTAGCTATTTATGCACTGAATTAGATGGTATACTGCTTCTAATTACAAAAATATAAGCTTTGCTAGTGCCTTCAGAGAAATATGCAATTCTCTTGAAGAAAACATATGCTAACATAAACTAGTAAGATTAAGATTATGATAAGATTCATGGGGAATGTGGTATAGAGGAGAGGATTAGGGAAAATTAATATTTGAGATTTTATATAAAATTATATTAATGGAGTACACAAAAGGATTTAGAAGAACAAGAAGAGTACAGAATTGGTTTTGATAATAAAAACTCAAATATAGATAGGAATTTCTAAATCCAAACAAAAACTCAACTTTAGATGGATATTTCTCAATGGAGTTATTTATTACATGGTTGTGCTAAATATATTTCTCTTATCTTCTTGCCCTCCATGAAAACAATATTCTAAAACTATTTAGTTTTCCAGGTTTAAAATATATATCATGAATGATTCTGAATTTCAGATGTAAGGGGAAATATTTAATTTTAAACACAATTCTGGACATAACTCTATTGAAATATTATGAGAAATAAATTTTAAAGAATATTAGGTATACATCTGAAAATGAATAATCTATCTGTAATGCAGGTGGCAAAGATTTTCTTTCATTCTGTTTGTCTTCATGTTCTTAATTGTTTCCTTTGCTGTGAAGAAAGCTTCTAAGTTTGATACCATCCCATTTACCATTTATTGATTTTACTTCTTGCATTTTAGGAGCCCTGTTAAGGCAGTAAGTTCCTGAGATAATATGTTGGAGTGTTGGGCCTACATTTTCTTCTATCAGGTGCAGGGTTTCTGATCTAATCCTTAGGTCTTTGATCCACTTTGAGTTTTGTGCAGGGTGAGAAATAGGAATTAAATTTCATTCTACTACTTATGGATTTCCAGTTTTCCAGCACCATGTGTTGAAGAGGATATCTTTTCTCTAATGTATGTTTTTGACCCCTTTGTCAAGTATGTATTTTGGAGTGTTTATCTCTGTGTCTTCTATTCTGTTCTATTGGTCTTCTAAGAACTCAAGAAACAGAAGCATAAAAACAAATAACCCAATCAATAAATGGACAAAGGAACTGAACAAATACTTTTCAGAAAGAAGAAATACAAAAAGTCACCAAACATAAGAAAAAAAAAGTTCAACATCTCTAGCAATTAGAGAAATGCAAATTAAAACTACACTGAGATTTCATCTCACTCCAGTCAGAATGGCAATTATCAAGAATATAAATAACAATAAATGTTGACAAGCATGTGGGGGAAAAAGGTATACTCATACATTGCTCATGGGATTATAAATTGGTGCAACCACTCTGGAAAACAGTATGAAGTTTCCTTGAAAAACTGGGAATGAAACCACCATTTGATCCAGTTTTACCACACTTCTCTATATGTCCAAAGGAGTTAAAATTAGTAAACTACAGTGATGCAGCCATAACAATGTTTATAGCACCTCAATACACACAATAGCTAAGCTATGGAATCAAAACCAACCTAGATGCCCTTCAACAGATTAAAGAATAAGGAAATTGTGGTATATATGCACAATGGAATATTATTCAGCCAAAAAAGGACTTTATGATTTTTTTTTTCAAGTAAATAGATGGTCCTAGAAACATCCTGCTAAGTGAAATAAGCCAATCCTCAAAACCAAAGATTGAATAATTTTGCTAATATGTGGAAACTAATCAACAATAAGGACAGGGAGAAGAAAGATTAGATATTCAGCAGATTAAACAAAGGGGAATGAAGGGAAAGGAGGTGGGGTCAGAAAAGGAGAGACAGTAGAATGAATCCAAAATAATTTTTCTATGTGTTTCTAGGAATATACAACAGTGCATCCCACCATCATAAGAATGGGGTCATAACTAGAATAAGATACATTCCATGCTTGTACAATTATGTCAAAATTAATTCTACTGTTATGTATAACTAAAAAGAACCAATAAAAAAGAATACTAGGTATCACTAATCAAACTGTGTAGTTTGTTTGTTTTTTGCTAACTAGGTTGCTAGATATATATTCATTTTAAGCAAACTATATAACTAAATGTATTGTTTTAACAAATATGCTATCTTGTCATCATTTTAATCATAGCATCACAATGTGATATATGTCATATATATATAGACATATTACATTTAAGTGTACATTGACATTTCAGAAAAATTTTTATTTGTTTTTAAAGAATAATTGTTTTATTATTATTTCAAATAGCTGACATTTTAAATTTGATTTGATTAGATTAATTTCAAAGACATTCATCTACACACAAATCTATGTGTATACACATAGACATAATGTATATAACAATAGTATACATATTTATTAATTTAATATATTTATCTAGAGAATTAAGTTTATACTGTTACTTTATGCAACAGTATTCATTTAAACTTTTTTCCTGATAAGATTGTTAATTTAGAATTTATGCTAACATTTATAAAAAAATTACTGACAAAAATAATCTTCTAATTTGTTCTGTTAGCTCTAAACCTGTTAAGATAAAAAAAGCAGCAAAGTGTTTGATTATCTGTTGCTGAAATAAAAAGTGAAATGGAAATTTCTGCAAACTAGTTCTAATTTAAAGAGATTTAAGGAACTGTACCAAATGATTCCAAGAGTTCATATCAGAGTTCAGACTCTCAGAATTTCATTAAGTCTATGTACACTGAAAATGTGCACAGAATAATTAAAATATTCCCTTTTATTTTTATAGAGAAAATCAGAAAGATGAAATAGGCATGTTGATTGGGGAGGCTGCTTAATTAATTTTGGTTCTGTCTTAATTATTTGATACCAAGCAGGAACAGAGACTGAACACAAACTAAGGGCAATCTGTCTTTTCTTCTGAAGAGGAGAAATTTGTGTCTCTGTAATAAAAAAAATTAAGTATATTTTAGGAATTCTTTGAGAAAAGCTACCATTTTCAGAAATTCTGCTTTTCATAATTATCAGTTGACAAGTTAAATCAAAGAAAATGTAAAGATTTTATTAGCAGAAAAGCAACATAAGAACATTATATAGTTAATGAAGACCTACTAGGGAAAATGCTATTTCCCTTCTAATAATAATTAACTTGTAGCCATCTTCTTTAGGTAGTGCGTAAATGGTAACTATAACAACTTTTGCCCAAGTTTATGAGTCAGAATTCATACCTAAACCAGGAAAAAATATTCTGGCCTACTTAAGCAGAAAATAATGTACTAAGAATACTAGGTAAAGAGGAGGGTCATTGGGAATACAGGGAGTCAGGTTTGCAGATACACATCCAGGCACTGTGTGCACATAACAACGTATGGGATGTACCTGACTTCTCTTCCTCTGCAATTTGCTGCCTCTCTGAGCTCCCTTCCATCTCTGCATGGATATCATGGATGATACCTCCACTTCTTTTCAAACTGAAATCTCTAGCATGATTACATGAACATAGGTCACATGCTTGTGCCTTACACAGTATGTGAAACAAGGTACAGTTTCCCTTCTGAGGGTAGGACCCCACAAAATGAAAGATATTCTAAATGTATAAAGGGTATCCAGAAGTTTAAAGAGTTAGAAATATCAACTTAAAATTTAAAAATAAAACTTCACCCTTAAGCAGATAACAGAGTGTATTTTATTCTTCATAAAATATGTGAACAAGCAGACTAGATAATTATCCAGGTTCTTTATTTTTTGTCAAATTAGTACTAAAGTTTACAGAGAATTTGAAAAGAGAATATATCAGGGCTAACACAGGTTCACACAGACATTCAAACCATGTTTTAAAATGTATTTAACTTCTTTCACACTGCATACTATTTTTCATAAAATCTTGTTGTGAAAGAGCACAATAATATTTTAATTATTTGCTTGACATAATTGCATTTTGGCATAATATTTATGGAAATGAACTTGAATTAAATCGGCCTGTGCCTTAAACCTGATTAGGTCCTGTACTAGTTCTGTGACTTTGGGCAAGTGACTAAGCTACTTTTATTCTCAATTTTGTGATTTATAGGCTAGAATAATAATGCTTACTGTGTTATTTATACTTAAAGACATATTGCAAAGGACAAGACTTAACCTAATACCTTTCTTATTAGGTATTCATAAGCTAAGAGCAGCTGGAGAAACAAGGACACAGAAAGTAAAAGTAATGGTGGAGTTTGTGATCAAGAGGACAGAGAAAGTTGTTTTCAAATTCAGAACATGCTGACTCATCCTTCTGTAAGATATCAAACAGCAGTAAGAGTTTCACTCTTCCCCCATCTAAGATATCTCTGGGAAAATATCATAAATTTTATTGGAATGCAAACATGATTCTTTCAACTGGTCTCATGTGGCTTCAGAGTCATGATTTCTCTCTGGGTTAAGGAATACAGAACAATACACTATCACAATCTGTAATGAAGTCACTTTCTAAATTATGTGTATAAATAATCTGTTCCTATAATGTAGAAAGTGAACTAAAGGTCACTTTAGATACTATATGAGCACTTACCATGCAAATCATTAGATGTAGAAAAGGTAAAGACACTTTTGAAGGAAACAAAGGGCAAGGAAAACAAGAGACAAATGTGTCTAGTGGTAAAAGGTAGTCAAATGTGTGTGTGTGTGCATGTGTGTTTGTGTGTGTGTGTGTAAGAATCATGAAAGGCTTTAGTTGCTTAAGTATACATATAAACACTAAAATCATAGGAAGTATAAGGATGACATTGCCTCAGATACAAAGACTCCTTCAAGTTCCACTCCTCCAGTACTGGCCCACATTTTAAACCCAACACCTGAAAACTTTCAAGGGCCATTTCAGCTCCAAACCTTCTTTCTGGTGGCTTAGGCTGAGCCTGCCAGGCCTGCACTATACTGAATTCTCTTGAATTATAGGTCTATTCTGACCCTGATATTAACAGCACTCTGTAATAAATACCCTGAATGTTAAACCCTGTCTCATCATCTGTTCCAAATTGTGCAAATATTATGGGGACAAGGATAATGAGAGAAAAGAGGAATGGAAGGTGGTTACAGGTGTTTTACTTATTTTACTTTGTGGGTGGTTGTGCCATTTCCTGAACAGGAAAGTCTGAGAAATAGACTTGGTAGATTGTAACTCAAGTACTCTGAATTACACATTTTGAATTTGAGCTGGTTTTATAACACATCAGTATAGAAATAAATTTGCCAGTTTTGCCTAGGAGTTCCCAACTCAGGAGATAAATCCTGATGGGCTAGAAATTTGAGGAATTCTAGAATCTGTATAGAAATTATGATGAGCCAGGAGCTGTGGCACACACCTGTAATGCCAGCGGCATGGGAGGCTGAGGCAGGAGGATTGTGAGTTCTAAGCCTGCCTCAGCAATTTAGCAAGGCCCTGAACAACTCAGCAAGACCCTGTCTTTAAGTAAAATGTAAAAAAAGACTGGGGATTTGGGTCTGCGTTTAAATGCCCCTAGGTTAAATCCCAGGTACTACTTCATCATGATCATGATCATGATCATCATCATCATAGAAAGAAAGGAAAAAAATTATAATGATAGCAAAGATAGCATTACCCAGCAAATATGTACAGGTAAAGATAAGGGTGAAGAATCAACCGTGCACTGAAGGGAAGTTTAGAGCTTGAGGGGCACTTCTGGTACCTGTTCTAATATCAGAAAAGCCTTAGAAGTTTCCTCTGTTCTAACAAGAAGAAATTCCTGGGCAAACTAAAAATAGCAAGTTGGGGTTGTGGTTCATGAGGGGAATTGGGTCTCAGGGCAAACCTGTGCCCCCAAAACTGCATCCAAACATATACAGCAACTGCCTATAGGAGTTAATTGCTGGAGGCCCAGGGCTTATTAGAGGAAGAACAAGAAGCTCCAGGGGAACCCATCATATTTTCATGGACTCTCTCTCCCAGGATCTACCAGGTTCTCACAGTAAGAGTCCAGGAAAGATCCCCTCATCACTATGGCTCTGGAAGGGAAAAAGTAACCATGGTGAAATTACCCAGAAATTTCTCTATAATACCTGCTCTCCAGAGAGAAAGGAATTATCCAGAGCACAATTCCAAAAACCTTCTAAGAAGGGTACAGGGATTTCTCCTGACAGAGTCGCCCTTCCAGCTTTCTTTTCTAGCTTAAGAGGGCAGAAAACCTTGCTAGGCACTGTGGCAAATGCTTCTAATCCAGCAGCTCAGGAGGCTGAGGCAGGAGTATTACCAGTTCAAAGCCAGCCTCAGCAATTTAGCAAGGCCCTATCTCTAAATAAAATATTTTAAAATGGTTGGGGATGTGGCTCAGTGGTTAAGCACCCCTGAGTTCAATCCCCAGGTACAAGGGGGAAAAAAGGCAGAAAACATAATTAAAAGTGGACACAGATTTAAAAAAATGAACTGGGAAAACTAAAGTCAAGAAAGTCAGGAAAGAGTATTTAGGCAAGATTGGAGGACTGAATGATTATGATTGGATGAGTATAGAACATCTTCCCCCCGCATGCATACACTCTATAACATCATGTAAAGCAGCTTCAGTTAAGAATAAATTTTAGCCGGTCGCAGTGGCACACGCCTGTAATCCCAGTAGCTCCAAAGGCTGAGGCAAGAGTATCAAAAGTTCAAGCCAACCTCAGCAAAAGTAGGGCACTAAGCAACTCAGTGAGACTCTGTCACTAAATAAAATGCAAATAGCACTCAGGATATGGCTCAGTGGTAGAGTGCCCCTGAGTTCAATCCCCAGTATTCCCCCAAAGAAAAAAGAATATATTTCAGCTGGAAGAATTGAAAGCCACAAACTCCTTCCACCTCCCTTCTAAAAGCAGTTTTAAAGGGAAGTCAAAAAATAATAATAATAACAACAACAATATTACAGAAGGAAAAATAAAATATAGATGGAAGATATTAACCAGTAATCAGAGAAAGACTATTGATGTATTGATGTTGGATTTATCAATCAGGGAATTGAAACAATCATGATTGATATGGGCCCTAATAAAAAAAAAGTGGTAGACATCATGGATAATGATGGATATTATAAGCAGGGAGTTTGAAAATATAATAAATATAAATAAATAAAAAAATGGTTACAAATATTTCTTTTAGAGAATTAACAGAAAAGAAGAATGTCTTAAACAGACTCAATAGCAGATTCTGCGTGGCCAAAAAGTATCTAACTGAACTTTTAATGCAAGTCAGGAGAGACGCACAAGAGAATAAAAAATGGATGAAAAGAAAAGAGAAATCATGAACTATGGGGCAATACCAAAGGATGTAACATACACATAACTGAAATTCCAAAGGGAAAAAAGAATGGAGAAGAAATATTTGAAAAAGTAGTGTCAGAAGATGGCAAAAGTATTATCCAACACAAATCCGCACAGCCTAAAAGTTCAGAGAGCACACAAAAGAACAAATCCCTGAAATAGTCTCTATGATGCAGTTTCTGTGAAAGGTGCTATCGATATTCCTCAGGATACACTTCCACTGTACTTTTTGGCTTTGAGATCCTTAACTATACTTAAGTCCCTGAATCAGGATGCCCTTGAGGATGAGATACAAAGTCTGGGTGCACTGTGCACCAAAAGAACTGACTGCATGATTTTTCCAAGTTAGATATACAGAAACCTGGAGACTGTGTCCAAAAAATAGGTATATTAAACACATAGGTAAAATGATGGGAGGAACATAAAGTTAGATCAAAATGAATATACTGATATAATCTAAGTAAAGCAAAATTGCACACACAATGTTTTAATTCAAGGGTTAGGATGAGTTATAATAATTTGGTAATCCAAAATAAGAACCAGTGGCCTATATGAATGAATACCCAAAACTGTTTTTGTCTAGAGGAATTATCTAAAGGTTTATTGAAAATGGTATGTTACAGGGGATTTACCATGTAAGGCATGCTCACCAATCCTGAGTTGGTCCAAAGGACATATTTTTCACTGCATCTGTAAGAAATAAAAAATTGGGAAGTATCAGAGGAACATGGCCAGCATCTCCTAAAGCCACCCTAAAACTTACAGTCTCAAATAATCAGTAAATAACAAAACATAAATACTCAGAAATATATTTACAGAATATGAAGCCCCTGATAGATCTATTCCACATGGATTCTGGAACTAGACAAAAAGAAAATGGCTCCAGGGGTTTATTTAAGGGGGTACATCAAAAGCAGAGATAAGGTTTCAAGGGCAGTGTTAGAGTCTGTAAACAAGTCAGGATGGCACCTGGCAAATGTTAGAGTCTATAAACAAGTCTGGATGGCACCTGGCATTTTGCCAGAGGGAGTGGTTTGTGAAGTAACCCCAGCGAGCCATTAAGTGTGGAGATTCCTTATTGGTTGACTGCTGTGAGTTTATGTTAATTAGATAAGCTGTGTGGAATGTATATATACCGCTCCAGTCCTACAATAAACGGCTCCCTCTCCTGCTATATCAATCTACACAAGTTCCTCGTCACACCCCCCCCCCCCCAGTTATTTTGCTGCAGCCGGACTGCGGCAGGGCAGAGTCCTGCTTCTGATGTCCTGCAGTCAGCAAGTTGATTCACATCTTAGCAGGTCACACCCATCACAGGTGCTGTGTGGGATCTTTTGCAGAGCTTGATGGGTAAAGTCACCTGCATCAATCATTTCCTGTGGGGGTACCACAGGGAATTCCCCATGCCAGACTTATCCCCTCAGGAGGCTACAATGCACAACAGTCCATACACAGCCCACAGATGACTCACGAGAGTCAAGGAGTGCTGATATGCTTCAAAGAGTTCTTTGATCTTTCTTGTCTGAGTGTCAGAAATTGGAGTGGGGAGTGCTGCCACCAAGCCAACATACCCAAATGGTATGTCAGTATTTGAATGCTATGGTAGCAGGTGTCAAATGGTGGTAATCACTAAAGGCAAGAGAATATGGTCACTGTGTTAGTTTGCTCGCAATTCTGTGTCCAAAACACCTAAATAAAAAAAGAAAAAAAAAAAGAAAACAAAACAAAACTTAGTATTTTGGAGTATGGTTTCAGATGTCTTAGTCTGTGGTCAGTCAGCTACATTGTTCTGGGCCTGAGATTTGGCAGAACATCATGGCAAAATGATGTGGCAAAGGAGAGCTTTTCAGCTCACGGAAGCCAGGGAGCGGGTGCAGGCAGGGACGGGGAGTGTAAGTACCTAGGAACAAAATATAATCCCCAGGAACATGCCTGAAGTGACACATTTCTACCAGCCCTGCCCTACTTGCCTGCAGTTACTATACAGTAATCCATTCAAATTATTAATCTATAAAACAGATTAATCCACTGATTAGGTCAGAACTCTCATAATCTAATCATTTCATACCTGAACATAACTGTATTACCTAACATAAAACTTATGGGGGACACCACCTTATATTCAAGCCATAATACTCACTATGATGGAAAGAGGAATAAAATACTTATCAGAATAGTCTAATACAAAAAGACATATGGCATTGTCTAGTCGATCATAGTGTCCCTAGAAACAAAGTAGATGGGAAGTTTACTAACTGCATATAAAGAAGAGTTCTAGGTGAACAGAAGTCTAACTTGAGTGACAAAAATTGAGTATCACAGCCGTCAGTTAATTCCCAGACTTGAGTCACTTTTGAGACCCAGAATACCTTCAATGAATAAGAATTGAAGTTCCTTCAAAAAGCATATTGTCAAAATTTTTTACAGTTAGAATTTTCTAGCCTTCCACAAAGATACCTACAGATCTTTATCAGGGTGGCTGTGCATGGAAGAAGGGAAATAATCAGACTTTG